ATTCACTAGTTGTATTCAACACATCAACACAGTCCCAACTAGTAACCGCTAGTCATTCTTATTCACTAGTTGTATTCAACACATCAACACAGTCCTAACTAATACTGAACCGCTAGTCATGATTATCAGTTCAACTATTCAACTCAAATTGAATTTGAGAAATTTTTATATGATTCGTATTTTATACACTGTAAGCCACTTCAGTTGACACAACACATAACACAATTACAAGATGTTCTTTTTTTTCTGTATTCATACTGTTTAGAAGCTAAAGTTGTAAATTATGTTTTAGTAGAGTGCACGCACTAAATCCGTGAACATTAATTAGTACTAATTAGTACTATTTCATACAGAATCCTTTGTTTTCTATTGTTTATTTATCACCATTTAGTACTAAAAGTTAGTATTTGTTTCACGGGTTTAGTGCGTGCACTCTAAACTTACTTTTTGATATCTACTCACAAATATAGTAAGTTCATGATTTATGTTTGTTAATAAAATTGCGATACATGCAGTCATCCATCCGTTTGCTATTACTCGTCATATTCCTATAGCTCCTCCCCTTGCTACGGCCCTAGATAACTTACGTGTCATCAATGAACAAGGCCAATAGAACAATCACCACCACTGCAATAACTATGAGCTTTTTCATGACTTCTTCAAGAAAAATCTAAAAGAACAATTCACATATAAATCATTGTTGAAAAAAGTGTCTATACTCACTTATTACTATGAACAAACAGATAAGCTTTTCCTTTTCTGTGCACGCTATATCAACGTCATATAAAAATGGATAAAGTCGATCAAATAAAAACTTAGAACAAAAGCTTTCCAAACCATTACGCTCCATTACACTTTTGTAGTGATGCGTACGTATAATTTCCCCTTCACACTATTCTTTTGTTTGTGCTTCATTTGCTTTGCTTGCCTTAAGGCCGGTGGTGTTCGCTGGTGGGATAATCAAATTTAGCTACGTCTTCTCAAGGATATATAACCTGTACCTGCAAAAGCTCATGACGGTTGATTCATTCTAACATTTTTAAAACGGCCCTTGAAGTTGTAAAGTTACAATTCAATAACTCTACAGTCTCTTTTCACGGTTCATAAGTTTATGCTAATATATTCTAGACATATTATTACAAGAGATAACAAGCTAAAAACTAGTGTGAGCTGCTTCGATGTTTCTAATGAAACAATAATGATAAAAGGGTAAATTTTACACCGTGAAAAGAGGGAAAGATGACATTTTGGACGCTATTCCTTCGTCGGAGTAAAAGAGGAATTACTAATAGACATATTATCAGTGCATTTATTCATGATTGCTCTTGCTCGACGCCTTTTGTATTTCATTTGAATTGCTTTTACCAAATATTCAATATACCTGCAGTGAACAAATCAGTACAGAATCGTTTGGGCCGTTTGGAGAAATCGTGGAAAACGCAAAACTTTGAAGATTTTGCTAAATCTTTACTTAAAATGTTCTTCGAGAGAAAAAAAAAAAAAAAACGTTCTCAATACCAGCAAGGAATTAGATGACCAAACTTACAAAGCTGACCCAACTTAAAAACAAGAGCAACAGCATTTTAGGATATTTTTGAAGTAATTTTATTCAATAGTAATGATTTTTTAAACCGAGAGCGCAAAAGCGATAAACAAAACTGACAATATGTTCGTGCGATTTTCTCCAAATCTAACATAAGAATTTCTTTAAATCTTTGATGTTTGTTTGTCATGAATTGGGGATTCTTAGGAGTTAACAGTTTTTCTAGAACACATGTGAATCGCGCGCAATTTTATTTTATTTTTTCAATTTCCAATTTTCCTCTGACTTCTCAACAATTCTCATTTGCTATGTAACAAAACACTTAATTTAATGTCCGTAGTCTCTTAGGAAATTAGTTAGTTTTGTTTTCCCTGGAGTCTCGATGTTTACCTCGGCTTCGCCTAGTGAAACATTGAGACTCTCGTGAAACCAAAACTAACTAATTTCCCTCACTAACTAATTTAACTCTGCTGGTCTCATCGGGATCGCATACAATTCAAGTTTAACCGATTTCAATGTTTGTTGTTTACACCTATGTCAAAAAAGCGTTGTCATCGCCAAAGGCAATAGGCGATAGGTCATTCCGACATGGAAATGGTTTCGTTGAATAC